TACTTCTGGCAGATGGTAACATCTTTTAATTCACTTCCTGTATTTAATAAAAATTATAGGTGTATTATAGGAAATATACTTTTGTATTATAGGAAATATATTTTGTGTTGTAATATATGAATTTTCTTAGACTACTCTTTGGTGATCTGCCCTGAATCCCTCTATGCAGCCACATTTCCCTGTATACACTCAACTCAGTCCTACCAAGCCTGGCCTTCCTGGACTTGCTCCCTCCTCCTACGTCTGGGACTGTTCTGAAGGGCAATTGGCTCTGTGGATTCCTCTCCTCCTGGTCTTTCTTGGCCAGGATCTTCTGTAGGGTATGTGCAAGAAACTCCTATGCTGCTAAAGCTGCCCGTGGTTCTTAATCCTGGCTGCACAGTGAAATCACTTGAAAGCCGATGATGCTGGCTTAAATAACCGGGAGTAAAGCCCAAGTATCAAGGTGATTAGCGTTCCCTGAGTGAGTCTATGGTGCAGCCAAAGTCAAGACTACTTCTCCAGCCTAACTCTTCTGAGAAGGAAGAGACAGTGTAGGGACGTTGCCATTGATACGAGGTCTTACCTTTAATTCAGGAAATACTCGTTGAAGAAGGCTGGGTTGTGTGCATGTGGCTCATCAACCCTGCTCTGGTGCCAGGCAGATGAGAAGCATTTCGATGCCCAACGTGTGCTGTGCTGAGCACAAATGAAAATAGAAGCCTGGCCACCAGCAGCCGCAGCTTATTCCTCCGGCCCTTCTCCTTTGTTGAGAGTCCAGGTCCTACCACTGACTGTAACTCTTGTCTGTTGGTGCATTTCCTTTCCTGGGGAGACTGCTGAGGTGAACATTTGGCCCCTCACTGTGGAAGCAAGGCTAAGATTTGCCATTAAAGATATGCCAGGCAATAGTGGACAGGGAAAGATACTCAGGAGACTGGGAATGCTTCTCTTTTGCTCTCCGTAATTAAGCATGACCAGAAAGAAATAAACTTGGGCTGGTCCTTTAATACTGTTTCTTAGCCTCTGGTGCATCTAAGAGTCACCACTCTTGAGAAATATGTTAAAACACAGATTGCTGGACTTAGAATTTTTCCCACTGGTATGGTTTAAAACCCAGCAATCTGAGCTTTTAACAAATAGCTAAAGGTAATCTAGGCCATACCCTAGCAAACTTGTTCCGGATAGTAACCTGGGAGATGGACTGGAAGTGAAGGCACAGGAAGGAAGTTAGAGTGCCCCCTCTGTCCCTGTCCCCAGGCCCAAGTCTCCTGTTTCAAGGCTTCCAGAAGTTCAGCATTCAGCATTCATCCTTACATGCTGCTTCTTGCTTTTGCTGGAGACCTCAGTTCTGGTGTTGTCTCCTTTGTCTCCTTTGTCTCCTTCTTTGAGCTTAGGAAGGGATCCTGACACTTTACCATTTCTTGACACAGCTCTCTGCAACAGAATTTCAGCTATATAAAAGCTTCTCAGTTTACAGAGGCAAGAAAGATACATTTAAGGGCTAAGAATGGTGCATGCATATGACAATTTTGAAAATATACAAAAGGGGTTTGAATGAACAGTATATTATATGACCCTCCAAAAACTCAGGAAACAGAGCAAAAATAGATAAATGAGGTTACATCACTCCAAAAAGCTACACAGCAAGGGAGACAGTCAACCAAACAAATAGGCAACCTGTGGAATGGGGGAAAATATTTGCCCCTGCAGAATGGGAGAAAATAGTTGCAAACTATACATACAGAAAATAGCTCATATCCAAAATGTAAAAAGAACGCAATAGCAAAAAAGTTAATAAGCCAATTTTATTTTAAAGAGAAAAAAACAATAAGATTGATACAGAATTTCAAAACAAGATGATAGGAAAATTAACAATGGTTATATTGCATATTGTTATCTTCAAAGTAGTTGCCCAGGTTACCAGATATAGGCGTGAAAAATTGATCAAACAATATAAACACTAACTGTTCCTTTCAATGAACTAATAGAAATTATAGTACAATTATCCAAGCTATCTTATGTATGTATATGTATATATTTTTCCCTTCCTTCTTTTCTCCTTTCCCCCATCCCAGTTATTCTTTCCTTTTGAGCAGTTTCTTTCCCTTTCACAACATCTATCATACATTTTGGATCTTATTTACTCTTTCAGTTTCTTACACTAGGGAAACAATATTATGTTTGCACATGCAAGTCTGATTTATTTCACTTATGATTATGGTCTCTAGTTGCATCCATTTACCTATAAAATCCTCAAGTTTATCTTTCTTTATAGCTGAATAATACTCCATTGTATAAAAATGCCACATCTTTTTTATCCATTCTTCAGGTGATGGGCATTTGGGTTGTTTCCAAGATTTAGCTATTACAAATTGTGCTGCTATAAATATGGGTGCACATATATCACTGTGGTACAATGTTTTAAATTCTTCTGGAAAAATATCCAGAAAGGGAATAGCTGGATCGAATGGGACCTCTATTCCTAGTATTCTGAGGCATCTCCACAGTGACTTCCACAGTGGTTGCACCAGAAGCCACTTTTAAAGTGAGCAATAAAGTGGAGCATGATGGAACACGCCTGTGACCCCAGCACTTGGGAGGCTGATTTTGGAGAATCATGAGTTCAAGTCGAGCCTGGAATACATAGTGAGTGCAAGACCAGTCTGGACTGCATAGCAAGACCCCGTCTCAAAAATAAAATAATTATAATTAAAATGGACATAAATCTAATTAAACTTTTGTCAAAAGAAGACATGCAACTGGTCAATGAGTACATCAAAAAGAAAAAGCTCAACATCAGTAATCAGCATGGAAATGAAAATCAAAACCACAATGAGATAACTCCTCATTCTGAATGCTTACTATTAAAAAGACAAAATATAACAAGTACTGGCAAGGGTATAGAGAAAAGGGAACCTATAGGCACTGCTGGTGGGAATGTAAATTAGTACAGCTACTACAGAAAGCAGTATGGAAATTTCTCAAAAACTTGAAAATAGCCTGTCATGGTAGTGCATGCCTGTAATTCCAGTTACTCAGGAGGCTGAAGCAGGAGGATTACAAATAAAGGTCTGCCCAGGCAATTTAGCAAGACCCTGTCTTAAAATAAAAAGGTCTGGGGATGAAGCTCATCCACGAGGCCTTTGTTCAATCTTCGGTCCCAAATTTTTTTTAAAAGATAGAAATCTATCAGTCCTACTACTGAGTATATACCCAAAGGAAGTAAAATCAGTATGTCAAAGAGACATCTGCGCTGTCATGTTTATTGTGGCACTATTCATAAAAGCTAAGCAATGGAAACAACCTAAGTGTCCATAAACTGACGAATGGATAAAGAAATTGTACATATGTACAGTGGAACACTATTCAGCCATAGAAAGGGACGTTCTGTCATTTGTAACAGCATGAGTGGATGGGAGATCATTATGTTAAGACTAATAAGCCAGGCACAAAAAGACAAATACCGCATGATCTTGTTCATATGTGGAATCTAAAAAAGTTGATCTTGTAGAAGTTGAGAGTAGAATAGTGGTTACCAGAGGCTGGGATGTACCACAGTGGTGAGGCTCTGGGTCTAACCTCCAGTACCACCCAAAATAAACATGGGAAATATTAAGTGTGAAAATATAAATATCTTATATATATACATATACAAAATAAACGCACAAGTATGAAGAGGGAAATGCAGATTACAAAATGTGCAGAATGATCTTAATTGTATAAACTCTATACATCTTACCCATGGGGAGCACAAACTTGGAAGACTGTTCAATTCAATGTTCATAGTGGAGTTTGGAATTAAGAGTGACATTTCCAGTATTATTCCCAAATGTAATTACACATTTCTACTATACCATTTCATACAAAATCATTTCCTCTAAAAGTCCCCTGTTCTCCGCCCTATTCACGGCTCCTTCCCTACCCTCAAACTTTTAAAAATCATGGATCTTTTACTATCTTCACAGTTTTGCCTTTTCCAAAATGTTGTGCACGTAGTTGGGATCATACAGTATGGAGTCCTTTTAAATTAGTTCTTGTACTTACCATATATCACATTCTTTTTTTATATACCCCATTCCTTAAAAGGATAGTTATAAAATTAAATGCTGTGTAACCTCTTTGACCAGCAACCATTTACCTGTAACTGAAAAGAAAGTAGAAAGAAAAGAAAAAGAAGAAAGTTTAAAAAGTCATGTTATGTTATGTTATTTATTTATTGTCATTCAAATTACATTGCCCAAAGCCTCTACACTGGGTTGGGTTTAGAGCCTCGAATTAAGAATGGCAAAACCACCCTGGCAGGGGCTCTCAGCGCTAAGTACAAGCAGTGTCTTCTGCCGTTTTGTGCAATTTGGGGGGCAGGTTGTACCTGCAGACCCTTCATCTCCATCTGCAGGTTTTGAAAACTCTGCCCCGCAAAGAACATGTGATTATAAAATAAGTTAAATATTCCAGCATAGAGTAGTTTAAATTCACCTAGAGAAAAGTTATAAAGGAGCACCCATCTAGTAAAGCACACACCCACATTACGTTGTCAGACTGACCACTTAGTTTACTTATCTAAAACTTTGTCCTTGGTTAATAAGGACTTTTGCTTTCCCCAAGAGGATATTTGCTTTTCCTGGGCACAACTGAAAAGCTACAGTGGAAAAGGTGTGATCTATCACTGTCCAGCGCTGCCAAAGGATGATCTCTGATCAGTGTCAGCACCACTTCTTAGCATGCAGACTTCAGACCTACCCAGTCAGAAACAAGGGCGGGGCGCAGGTGCTGAGGTTTCAGCAGCCTCCCAGAGACCCAGCAGTTAAGTGTGAGAAACTGTCGGATTCTGAAGTTTCTCTGAAGGCAAAAAAACAATGGTAATTTTCAAGTGGTCAACTTAAGCACAATATAATTGACGCTATCCCAGGGCTTTGTTATAGGGATTTTTTCCCCTACTGTGTTGTGTTAAAAAAGAATGAAAAACTTTTTTAAAAGTCTAGTTATTAATATTTTACATTTAATTTTGTTTCTTACAGGCAACTTCAAAAGATGGTCAGTGATATTAAGAACAATGAAGGTGGAATAATGAACAAAATAAAAAAGTAAGTTAGTCTCTATTCACACACTTATTTATATAAAATAAGTCAGCCTGTGCCAAGTAGGGGAACAGGGAGCTACACAGCCTGCTCAGCACATCATCCTTTCTTACCTCGTTGTGGGCCACGTGGTTAGGTCCACAAGCCAGGAGAGTTGACAGCACTCGGGTAACTTGGGGTTTCCTTCTCATCAGAAGAGATGTTTACCTGTTGAGAGTGCTAACAGATGTCAAAGCAAGACACACCTGGAGAAATCCAAAGCAGTTGTGAAACAGCCCTAGCATCTTTGGGATGCTATATGTGTTACATAAATTTTGCTTTTTTTTTTTTTTTGTGATGCTAGTAATTGAATTTAGGACTTTTATAAGCCTTCTTTTCTTTTCTTTGATTTTCCCTTCCTTTCCTTTCTTTGCTTTTTTTTTTTTTTAAATTACCGCACTGGGATTGAATTTGTGATCCTCCTGCCTTGGCCTCCTGGAGTGCTGTTCTCAGGCATGTACCACCATACCAGGCTGATTTCTACTTTTTAAATTATTGCCTTACAATATGCTTTTAACAAGCAGTTGGAGAAGAAAAGCTAAAATCCTAAATCCTTTTGTATAGCAAAAACCCTTCAGCTTTACAAAAAAGATGAAAGAAGAGGATGAGGAGAAGGAGGAGAAGGAAGAAACGAATAGAAACTGTACATATCTTCTTTTCCCACTCAATACCTGAGGCGAGTGGAGTGGAGAAATGGCATTTCATTAATTTGTATTTTTAAATGAAAGTAATACAGGAGGAAAAAAGCAAGAAATTCAGAATTGTATGGAATAAAATTACCCATTTCCTCATGTCCCCACCCTAAACCACTATCTAGAAATACATATTGTCATGAGTAAGTTCAGTTATGTCCACACCATGTGTATGTATACTCAGTCTGTACATATTTTTATCATGACATCATACTTACTACATGTACAATTCTATCAAATTGTTTTGTTGGTTTTACTTAATGTTATATCATGGACACCTTAATTATTATGCAAAAGTAAACATACTCTTCATTGAATAGCTGATTAATATATTGTCTACTATAAGTGTGTTATTAAATGAAACAACTATATATTGGGAGACATTTTTAAGGGGGAGAGTGTAAGTTTTTGGAGGTGATTTGATCACATCAAATTGAAATTCTTTAGATATTTCTTTTTGTTTAACTATCACAAATAAGACTTCAATAAATATTTTTTGCAAGTTTAGAGTATAATAGCAGGGCAACTGCCTGAAATGATGCTTTTTTGTAAAGTGGAATTGTTGAGTGGAAAGAACTGTGCCTTTACATTTTTTATTGCTATTACCAAATTCCCACTCCCAAAATTTTGTGCTATCGTCAGTGCAGAAAGTGTCTTCATTCTTTTTGATCTTTGCTAAACTTAAAAGTAAATAATCCCTTCTGGTGGTGTGTTAAGACCATAACATGTAAAGGAATGTCAGAGTTTATCAGTGATCATCAGAAAGCAGTTTAAAGGGTGTTCTGCTCATGGGCCAGTGGGCCTCTTACAGAAGAGAATTTGTCTTCGCAGTCTGTCCCATGACTAGCTTAGAGGCATGTGATTATTTCCACTTATTCTTTCACATATATACAGAATCCCATACTCCATGAGCAAGCCCTGCAAGTCATTGTTACAATCACTAGCAAGTCTAGAATAATTACTTCAAAATTTTCAGACTTACAACATCCCACAAAAGATTTCTCTGTTCCATAGTTAGTCATGCTACAGCAGCCAATTTCTTCTGATAGTTTCTATTTCAAACATTTTTCCCATTGTCCCTGAGAGAACTTTTTTACTTGACAAATCATACTTTTTCTTAGCTTGGAAAATATGGCCACTGTGGTTATTACCCTGGACAAAATCGAGGGCTTCTTGGACCAAAATGACCTGCAGGAAAGTTCTCACTGAAGGCCAGGCAGCAGGTGTTCCCTTGAAAAAGGAAGCACAGCTGAACACACCGGTCGGCTCCTTTACTGAAGACTGTGACAGAGCTGTCACGGGTCTGTGGCCCCACAAGCACAGTGCGGGGGGTTGGTGTGTAGCGGCCGCTGCCAGGTAAAATTCAAACCACATCTTTTATTCCTGCCCTGTGTTCGGTGGCCAACAACCTTTTCTGAGTTTGTCCTTTGTTTCAGGATGATTAGACTGTGTTAAAATCCCCTTTCTTTTCTTTAAGGTAATGATCCAGTGCTGGACAGTAGCTGGCTTGTGTATTTTTATTGTTACTGTTCCATGAACCAACCCAAGTAACAAACCCACTTTTGTGTGATTTTTTTCCCCTACAGTACCTTGGGCAATCTTTCTGTCTGTAAGTTAATATCTTTCCCAGAACAACCTGTTGACTAGTGATGAGGAAACAAAAAGAGTTTCTATACTAATACAACTTTTTTTTTGTGAAATTATAATTCTACTTTGTAAAGTGTTAAAAATCAACATTTAAAAGAAGTGAAATAAGTTTTACATGTAATGACATACATTGCTTGTATTAAAGGATATAATATTTTAGTAAATAAAGCCTACTGGATATGTTTTATTTTTATATGTTTTAAATTTCATTAAGCAGATCACTCTTAAGTACAATGAATATTAATAAAATACTAATTTACTTTAAACTTATACCTTGAGACACTCAGCATTCACTCCTTATGTTTTTAAATGGTATAAAAATAATTTCAGTTAATCTACAACCAAAGCTCTTATTATAATTTTTGACCTATTTTTAAAAATACTTATAAACTATTTATAGTTCATCTTTTTTTAACCTTTCTGTCAATCAACCGACACTTACCTGTGGGCCTCTGGACTCGGTGCTTAGTAGCACTCTGAGGTCTCAGAGATTATTTGCCTTTGCCAAGGCGTAGCTACGTCGTGCACTGGGGAGATGGGGAGGGAGGGGAGATCCCTCACTAATGGCCTTACTGCATTTAACATATACTAAATCCTTCAAAGTGATGGTCCCAAATGAAGCCTTTATTCTGTTAAACTGCTGTGCTCTCTAGGCTATGGGCTTATGTTATGGGCCTTGGCTCCAGCTGTCCTATTCACTGACTCTTGGTCATCTGGTTCTTTTCTAGGTTAAAAGGCAAAACACCTCCAAGTGTTCCTCGAAGGGACTATGCTTTAGGTAAGAGTATTCTAAAATACTTTAACTGACTTTTGATTAAATATTCATGTTTATTTGTTGGAAGGGGAAGTGTATTCTACTCATTGAAAACAAAAGATGCTTATTTAACTTCAAGAATGACTGAATCCATCAGGCATTTGACTGTAGTGGAGATGAAATCATCCATGCATCCATCCATTCATCCATCCACCCATCCACCCATCCACCCATCCATCCATCTGTCCATCTGCCCATTCATCTGTCTATCCACACACAGCTACTTATCAAACATTTATTAAGCATCTTCCAGGTGCCAGACATAAAAATCTGAAGCAGAAATGTAGTGCTAAACAAGTTAGATAGTCTCCATGTTCACAGAATTTATAATCTGAAGAGGTAGATGATGTGAGAAGCAATTATATATAATTCTAAGGAAAGGAAAAACACAAAGTCCTATGGAAGTTCATAGCAGCACCACCTAATCTAATCTGAGGCATGTGGGGAAGGGAAGATTTTTTTCCTTAGTGGAAAGCTGGTTAAATGCACACTTGAAGGTTGTTGAAGCAGCCTGGGATAAGTTATTGAGTACATGGTTACTCAGTACCCTGTGAGTTGTCTGTATCTCCATTTCCATTAGAATCAACTTTGGCAGAAGAAGGGTTGGTCTTGAGAGTGGTACTGTATATGGCAGTAGTGAGCAAAGTCAAACATCCAACACACTTTCTTTTTGTAGACTAGATGGGAGGATGGATCTAAATCTTATTCTACAATATTAAGTATAAAGATTGTCCAAACATGGACAGGCCTAGTCAGTTCTTGTTGAAAACTACAAGGCTACAGATATCATTGATGATTCCTCTCTCCAGGGCAACAGCTAAAACTAAATTGTAACCTTAAATAGTGATTTTTATTTTATTTCATTTTTCTGTCAAGATAGTACTAAGTCAGATACTTAGGCCCTCTTGGGCACTGAAGGAATCTTATCAGGCTGGGAAATGTTGACCAGTGCACCCAAATCTGGGCCCTGATCCACTGAACCACTTACCCCGACTTAGTAGGCCACAGAATAGTCATTGCCCGCATCCTGCCGATCAGTCAGCAGGTTTAGACAGTTGGTCAGGGGCTTCCTGTGCAGTTTGGAACTATGAAAGAGGGATCCTGGCCTGGGCTTTAAAATCTACTTAATCCATAAGTTAAGGAATCTCCTTAATTAAGTTAGAACAAAGGAATCCTATTGACTCGTCTCTTAAATGTTTCTGAAGTATCTTTCTGCCTCTCATAGCCACAGCTCAGGTTCTTGTCATCTCTTAAGGTACCAGCCTCTTAGAAGTCCCCTTAATTCTTATTTTTAGCATATATTAGGTGTACAGAATAGTGGGTTCTGTTTTGGCATGTTCTCACACGTATATATAACATGCTTGGCTAATTTCCCCTTCCGATTAACCCTCGTACCCTCCCCCACTTCTCTTAACTCCCACCCTCTTCTTTAACAGTGTCCCTTCTCCTTTCGGGTCATCTCTCTTTTTAAAATTTTTCCTAGATTCTTCCTATAGAGAAAACATGCAATATTTGACTTTCTGAGTCTAACTTATTGCACTTAGTGTGCTGATCTCTAGTTACATCCATTTTCCTACAAATGATATGATTTTGATCTTTTTTAATTCCATGTCTCCTTAATTCCAAGTTCCAATTCTCATCCTGCACCAGAGATTCCTTCTGAAATACAATTATTTTCATGTCACACCTTTAAATGTTTTCACTCCTCTACATCAACAATAAAGAGGAATTGCAAGTCACTGAGTCTGATTACCAAGTCCTTTGAAGCTAAGCAGTAACTAGCTGGGTGACTTTGGCCGTATCACTCTCCTCACTTCATCTTTTTACTTTTTATTTCTATGTTATGATGCATTCCTGATGGAGGCAGCACAGAATGACTTCATTCCTCCTGGGGAGTTGGTACAGGTACATAGCACGTCCCTTTTTTCTTTTTAAGGGACGTTCTTATGTAGTATTCCTTAATAGCAAAAACTGAAAACAGTCTTAAATGTCCATCACAAGAGAAATGGGAAGTAAAATGTAGATTCACATGATGTCAGTTAATCACAATTACAGAGGATAGATTAACTTATACTTAAGCAACATGCACAGATCTCAAAAAATTATTCAGTCAAGAAAGCAAATTGGAGAATTCTGTATAACATTTTCATTCAACACAAAACATTCTCAGTGAATTCATGTATGTATGTAAGACTATTAAACCAAAGTCTAGATGGAAGTACAATAAACATAACAGCAGTTAAAAGGGGAAGGAGCAGGAGGGGGAGCAGCTGGGAGTTGAATGACGCTATCATTATGTATAACAACATAACTTCTTAAAGAGGTGGATTCATGCATTACTTGAATAATCAGAACTTTTTGGGGGGCAGTTCTGGGGGTGGAACCCAGGGCCTTGTGCATGCTAAGCACGTGCTCTATCAGCAAGTACATAGCACATCTTAATTCTTTTCTCATCCCCTTCCCTTCCTTTCTCACTCCATGTCTTGGTCTCCTTCCCTTTTGCAAAAGATCTATCTTTGTAATTTAGGCACTGACACAAACAATCTCTTAGGTTTCCTCCAGTGCCAGCATTCTGCACTTCTGAGGAACATAGATCTTTGGGGCCCACAGCCCATGATGAAAATGATCCTTTTCTGACATTCCCCAGCTTCAGGAATTTGCACTTTCCCATCTTCCTGGTGCTTGGAAATACTCTCTTTCTTGACCTCAGACAACTGTTCTCTCCCTGTCAAATCCTTCAAATAGTCCTGGTGTCAATACATTTATATTTAATGTGTCTGGGAACATGGAAATGAAACCCAACTTCAAAGACTCAATGACTTTGCTACACAAAGTGTGATCCTCGGGCTTGCTGCAGCAGCAGCATCTGGGAGCTTGTGGAAAATGCCAAATTTCATCTTTACAATAAAACTGGGTCACAATTAGATTCTAACAAAAGTTCCAGGGAATCCAAATGTATACTAAAGTTGAGAAACACTGCTCAAAACTTCTGTCTCTGTCCTTATTACTTCTCCTGATTTGAAAAACAAGTGGATCCTCAAATTCACTAAGGTTCCAGACTCTCTAAAATCCATCCTATTGTTTTGCCAGCAGGGCCTTGCCCAGTCTCCCTGCTTTTACACTCAATACTTGACAAAGTCACCATTACCGCCTGCCCTCCTGTCCTCTGTTGCCCTTCCTTTCCCCAGCCCTTCTTATGTCCCCTGGAGCATTGCCAGCTGCTTCCTTGTGACTTGGAGTTCCCAAGAAGCTACATGTCCGCGGCCTCAGAAGTCAGAGCCAAACCTCCGAGGTCCTAGTGCATGGAGGTCTGACTCCCACAGGCCCTCTGAGCCTGGGAGGCCTGTGGAGACTTGGGTCACTCAAAGCTCCTGCAAGTGCCTACCCATTTCCCCCAGATATCAGACATCAGAGTGGTTTGCTCTTTCCAGTCCTGGGGGCAAATGGCACCCCAAAAACCAATGAAGCCAGGAGTGGGTTGGCCTGAGTGATGATGACCTTTTGAGGGAAGAGGTTGAAAAGGGCTAATGCTGCCCGGAGGTTGGCAGCAGAGTCAGAACAGTCTCTCCCCTAGTTAGAGTGCAGGGCAAAGCTGGAGGCACATGAGTAAGGGAGGCGTGGGCCCTCAGGAAGGCAGCTTGAGCCAGTGTGCAGTCTGCGACTTCGGGCCAAATTTGCCAGGCAGGCTTCTGTGTCTGAAGCGTCAGCACTGCCTGCAGGGACTTCGTGGTCTGTCAAGCAACGTGTGCTGGCCTTAAGCAACTGGCATGGCTGGCTGTAAGAAGGGAAGGTACCCTTCCGAAAACTAAAAGAAAATCTTTTTGAAAGTTTTCACCACAAATAAATGTTAAATTTTTGAAGAAATATGTTTAACCTGACTTAAACTTTACACAAAGTAATGTTTAATTACAGTAAAGCCTGGGTTTGTGAACATGATTCATTCTGGAGACATGCTTACAACCCAAAGTGCTTGCATATCAAAGCACATTTCCCCATGAGAAATAATGGAAATCACAGGCAGTCAAAGTGTCATAGAGGCTATTGAATTTTTGGCATCATTATCCAGCACAAAACATCCTGGCCTTGTGAGCCTGATCCCCAGGATTGGGCCGAAGAGCTTTAGGTGTTAGGCTGCTGTGGCTGTTCGGGAAGCACAAGGGTAGAGGCAGAGAAGAGCGGAGAGAGAAAGGAAAATAAAACACATCTTGCATAGAGTTTTAAACTAACATTGTAATTAAATTAACCTTGTATTATAATTTTGGACAAAACTGACTGTTTTTTCCTGGGTGTGGTGGCTCATGCCTGTAATCCCAGCACTCAGGAGGCTAAGGCAGGATAACTGCCGTGATTTGAGGCCAGCCTAGGCTACAAAGGCGTTCAAAGCCAAGCTGAACTACACAGTGAAATGTCTCAAAGAGACAAAACAAACAAGTTTTTAAAAATGATCAATGTGTCTATGTGCAGACCTGAGCAGAATTTGACCTAAGAGTTAAGATAGTCAAGGGGAGGAGCCAAAATGTTAGATTAGGAGCGAGAAGCACAGGTTCAAAATGATGATTATAAAAATGATCATGAACCCAAAGAGGATACAAATAAGCAACTGAAGAAAACAAGAAAGACAGTGCAAGACAGGAAAAAAGATTTTGATAGAGTCTGAGGAAGAAAAACATAAAGAAGTCTTGGAAATGAAAAACTCAGTGAACAAAATAAAAGATTCAATGGGACGCCTCACCATCCAGCAGAAGACAGAATCTCAGGGCATGAAGATAAAATAGGAAAATGATTACATTTAGACAGAAATACAGAAAAAATAAAAATTATGAAAAATGCAAACCTTCCATGGTACAATCTTAAAAACCAAATTTAAGGGTCTTTATAATACAAGAAGGTGTCAAGACACAGACTAAAGTCATGAAAATTTTATTCAGTAAAATAAAAACAGAAAAACTCTGGACTGCACCGTTCTTCTCTTGGGTTTTATCTGCATGCTTAGTGAAGGGGTAGGTGGCTTACATGAGATTTCAGCTGTGGGAGCCAAGGCTCTTAGCCTAATTCCCCAGCCCCCACACTTTCTAGCCATGTGGCCTCAGGTAGGTTTTTCAACCTCTCTTAGTCTCTTTAACTATAAAATGGAGAGAGTAATAGCACATACATAGTGCTCTTGTAAGGATATACGTTTATAACACTTGGCCCAGCACCCAGCATGTAGGAATTGTTCAATAAATGGAGTCCATGATTATTATCCTAATTTCTATTTATCTCATTTATTGCTATATTCTTTTATTAGTTCATGGAATGCAAGTGCAAAATACCATCCAAATACAAAGATAAATAAGCCCTGCTTTTCATTCCAGAGACACACAAACTACTTAATCATAGTACAGAACAGAGAGAAGTGCATATGACATCAAGGCACCCACAGCACATCAGAAGGCCCACGATTCTAACAGGAAGTTCTGGGAAAGACTTTCTGGAGGAAGAAGTACAGGGATTTCCCAGGACAAAGGACAATGGGCTGGGGAACAGCATGACAGGAGCAGAGAATTACCAGAAGCGCACAATTGTAGTAACAAGCTGTCTGGTGTTACTGTAAATGGGCACAGAAGACTGAAGCAAGAGAAGCCAGCGGAGGGACATGGGGTGGAGGCATTTGAAGATGTGGATATAAAATCTCAAGTTTACTCCATAGGGAGTCGGTGATGATTCTTATGGAAAGGAACATGGCCCAACCTTTGTTTTAAGAAGCCAGTGAAAAACAATTGGGCAGATGAGTTGGAGAGAAGGATAACAAAGCCAGAAGGACTAGCTAGATAACCACTACAACTATCTTCACTCAGTGACTGTGAAGTAGACGCAGATTCACTAAGAAAAAGTTCAGCAAATTTATTTTACCAAGGCAGGGAGTGGTGCACACAACGGCACTGTCTAAAGGGTGGAAGCGGCCGAAACAAAAACATCATGGTAGCTGTAATACTGATCTTCAGTTATCCCCAAACCTAAAGGATTAGAAACTTATCCCCCCACTCTGCTAGATAACTATATTGGAAAGAGAAATTATTCAACCATTCTTATAATTTCTTGGAAAGCTCTAATGACCACAGTACACTGTAATTTGTTAGTATTCAACTCAAAGAATAATTTATTAAGAATTACTTTCTGCTCATATCAAAATCTGACCCATATTTAGTTAGTGAAGTAAGGCTGCTTCTTAATACCTGTCATGCTTTTCCCAAGCGAGGGCACTGCTGATGTCATTGCTTAAAATGTGACTGCTCTGAGCCAAAGATCTTTCCTGACCCCGTTTCACCTTCACAGTCCTTTGCTGGTATCTCTGTGGGACTCGTGGAGCGAGAGCCAGTGGTCTGTGTGGCAGGGGTAGAAATGGAAAAAAAGTTCTGTTGAGACTTCAGCGCCCATCCACTAGACCCTCTGTAACAAAGGCTGCCTCTGGGGGTGAAGAGGTGGCTGGGACACTCCGCAGTGCAGTGGTTGCAGCCACTCTGCCACATGGGCTTATATCTGGTTGATATTCTAGGCTTCACATAACCCAAATGTGTTTTTCAGGAGAAAGAGTCTCTTTGGCTGCCAGAATTCAGACCTATTTTGGTCTTCAAGCTCATAAGCTATTTGACAACTAAGGCTTGTCAGACCCATTTGTGTGTCTCTGTGAAGCCTCGAATAGTGTCTGCCCCCGGAACTCAGTGGGGCACACAGGGTTGGGAGTCAGAGCAGGAGCTTTGATGTTCACCTGCAGGATTCAGCTCCCAGTGCTGCCGCTTAGTACCTGACCTTGAGCACAGGACTCGTCTGCTGTGGGCCTCAGTCTTCTCACAAGGTTTTTGGGAAATCTAAATGGATGCAGAGCTCTGCTAACACTGTCTCCCATGTGAGCCATAGGATAAATTTTTAAAATAATGCCAACAACAACAAAGTCAAACTTAGAGCCTGAGAGAATCACAGAAGTGACCTCATCATTTTAAAGATCTGGAAAGTGAGACTCAGAGGTGCCTGCTATGTTATCTGTGCTCTCCGAGTAGTCAGGATCAGAGCTGAGATGAGAAGTTAAGTGCATCGGACTGTGTGTGCAGCGCTCTTTCTACCACACACCGACTCACATAGTGATTCAGAGACAGCCTTAGAAGCCACAGGCATGGATTTCAGGTCTTTGCCGCATTACTGTAAGGTTCCAGAAATGTCTTTTGACAAAGACAAACATAAGAGACAGTACTGCTTTGCCCCAACAGGACTTCACTTATTGCTTTAGGAATTAATTTTTAAAAGAAAGTCAAAAGTGAACAGACAGGTGACAGTAACAGCGGTTCAAGGCCAAGTGAACCACACCAGGAAGCCCAAAGGAAGGAAGTGTCATTCTATCCAGTGTGTCCGGTCCTGAGAACAAGGTGACAGCGGATGAAAAAAGGAAAGTGGAAGACACAAGAAAAACAGGAGAGGCAAAAGTCTGGGATCAGGGGGGTTATGGCCTCTCGGACTGCAGCCCCAAATACCGAATTCAGTCACCTTGTATTGAGCGAGAACCGAGGATGTGGCCAGGACAAATGGGCAGATACCAAACATTTTAGCAAGGATAATTAAAGGAATATCCTTCTCACATGTAATCCAAGACATGACTATAATCCCAGCACCCAAAACACGCCTATAATCCCAGCACTCAAGAGGCTGAGACAGGAGGATCATAAACTCAAGGTTAAACAAGTCATTGTGTCCTCAGTGCCTTCTAATCAAAGAATGTCCTTCTCCACAAGGAAGCCGTATGTGGGGTGGGTGTGGGCAGTCCGGAGCTGGCCAGCTGAGACTCACACTGTGCATTCTGCATCCTTCATGCCGTTCCAGAGAGCCCTGCTGATGAAGATGAACAGTGGTCAGATGACTTTGTAAGTATTTGTTCCTGGGATTGAGCAGGAAGGTACAAGGTGCCATGGGAGGCCTTTTATAGTTGAGAATGTTTCTGAACTACATCCTGGTGGTCAGCTGCATATCCCAGAGGAGACAGAGTGGACAGGACTGGGCAGACCACCTACAAGCAAAGCAGCAATAATCTTGACATGGCTGATAACCCAGCACAATCTGCATGTCAAGCTAAGAACTTTACTGCATTGCCTTATTTAATTTTTGCCACAGCCCCATGAGGTAGGTATTTGTGTCCCATCCTCAGTGCTGTGCTGGCATTCACAATACTCACCAGCAGGGCCACACAGATGTTAAAATATTTCCATATCATTTGGCAAATGCCTCTGCCTTAAACTCCGGTGCTCTATCGCCTCCTAACTCCTGTGAAAGAGCCACAAACAAACGGAGAGTTAATGCCTGGCACAGGAGGGCATCGCCAGGACCAGGCACGAGAAGTTTAGTAACTTGCACTTCCAAACTCAAGCCCAGGTCCTCAGCTCTCAGAACCAGACTCTTAACCCTGAAGTGCTTGCTGTGATCAGAACATTAGCAGAGCTCTGAGGGTCAGAGAGGGAGAGAAGGAGCTAGCAGTGATCACATTGGCAGGTGTGTACCAGAGTGAGTCGGCAATCTCCTGGAGGCAGCTCCATGATCCTCAGGGCTCCTGCAGCCACTTGTTCTTGGACTGAGTCTCATAGGGACAAGGTATCCTAAAAATCTTTTTCTTCACAATAATTATTCTTCGGTTTTACTAAATGCATCCAGAATATTAGCCTGCTCCAGTCTGAGTTTTAGATTTGAAAGACCCAAGAGGCCAACCCCACAAGGACATACCCAATTCACAGATAAGGAAACTGAGGCCAAAAGAATGGACAGGACTTTCCTACAGTTACTCAGATCTCAGTAACCAGTGGAGTGAAATAAGACATAGACCTCTAGTCCAGTGTATAGCATTGAGTTCAAGCCTAGCTCCAGGCCGTGTATGCCGCCTGGAGTTTATACGGAGTCTTAGGAGACAATAGTCCCTCCTTCAGTTGCAGAAAGAGAAAGGAAATGAAGAGATCCTGATCTCTCTGCGAGTCACTTGGGCATGAAATGCCTCTTAGAGCCCAGCAGCTGCTGATCTCCAGAAGCGCTGCAGCTGCGCTCTCTGCTGGCCACAGCTCAGGATCACAGCTGCCGCAAGGGGAAGAGCCAGGGCAGTGTGTCTCTCCGCCTCTCCATCGCTCCAGAGGCAAGAAAAGAAACTGAGCTTGTTCCTGAGTAAAAAGGGTGCATAGGGATTTAGAAAACACAAAGTAAAATCAGCCTGGAGAGGAGAGAATAGCTTGTCCTAAAGGCAAACAACCAAAGTTAAGATACTAACTAGAATAAGGATTGCGTGAACAGTCACTATTACTTTTACCTCATGAGACGGCCATCGCATGTGAGATGAAATGCAGACTTGTTTCTAAGCCTCCAGGTCATAAACTGTTATAAAACTGAAGCCCGAATGAGACAGACCAAAAAGCAAGAGCCTACCCATTCATGGGAGGCCGTGAGGGGACCGTGCATTGCAGCAGGCGGTAGGTGCAGGCAGTGGAAGCAGAGGTCAGACCTCTTATGTGCCTAGGCACAGTAATGTATGCAGGAGTGGCACATACGGAACACGCCTGGCGAACATCACAAGAAGCTCTGACACTGCATCTGGGGAGAGGAGCTGCAAGGTGGGAAGATTTCACCTTCTCACTGTTTGTGCACTTCATTTTAAAAAGAAAAGAAAACAGAATAAATTCTCAGTGAATTTCAGGTCTAGCCTTTCACCCTCAACTTACCAGCTCTGCTTATCAAAAAGCACCTCTCTCCCCTGGAAAGGTATCCCCTCTCCTCCTATTATACCAACATTTCCCTCAGCTATCAGTATTCATGAGAAATAAAACCTATTGGTTATTCTATTAATTGGATCCTTTTAATATCTTTTAAAAATACATTTTATGATCTCCTACTGTTCTTTGTCCACACACAGAGTTTCAACCACTCTTGGGGTGAAAGAGTTCACATATTCCCCCGATGCTGCCGGGGTCGAGGTAATAAACTCTGGAGGCAGGAAGGCTTGCCTCAAACTCAGGTTTTGCCTTTCTGAAGCTGCCTAACCTTGCAAAGCCGGCCTCCCCCAGTCTTGGCGTCCTGACCACAGCACTGGGGAGCTGCTCCTCCCTCCTAAGGTTGGAACTGTCCTGCCAATTAAGAGGCACAGACAGGGATGCTGAATGTGGTGTCTGTGTTTGCAGGACAGTGACTACGAAAATCCAGATGATCACTCAGACTCCGAGATGTACGTGCTGCCTGCCGAGGAGAATGGGGATGATAGCTATGAGCCACCTCCAGTCGAGCAGGAGACGAGGACGGTTCACCCAGCCCTGCCCTTCTCCAGGGGCGAGTATGTAGGTGAGGCCATCCCCAGACACGGCACACTTTGCCTTTTGGGCATACGAAGAAGGGGAGGCAAACCCACCGCTGCCCACAGCTCCTCTTCCTGGATCCGAGGTTCAGCCACTCTGAGCAAGTTACCCGGGTGCTCACAGCTAATAGGCCCCAAGTAGTAAAACTTTCCCATTCCAGGGACAAAGTGTCTTTCCTAAATTAGGAACACTGAGAACAGGCAAAGCTTAATTTAAAAATTAAATAATAAAGCACGCCCTGATGGTTGCCCTCCCCCCATTCCAACCCTCATAGTCCCACAAGAAGTCAGCCCTGAGATTGGTCTCCACTTTCCTCAGGGCTTTCTGCACATAAGGTTCTGGAACTTCTTTTAAGAATTCTTTACAGGACATTGATGACCTTCAAGAATCCCAGTGTCCACTGAGCTTCTCCCTCCTCGGCCACCAGCCTTTTGCCTACACTGCATCTAGACTGGATTTTTACCTAGGCACTGGGTGTCAGTGAGCTGTCCAGGTCTGGAGTTAGTCTCATAGGTCAAATTGACACAGCTCACGTCTCACCTTGAGGGCTGGCTGTGCCTTTTATTGTCCATCACAAAAGAATTTATGTCCTAGTTTTAGCAGGTGACTAAGTTCCGCAAAGGAAAGGAAAGCAAGTGTGTCCGTGTCGGTCAGGACGTGCTAGCATTCGTACCCAGTGTTCCTAGCGGTAAGGCCTGCATCTGTTCTCACTGCCCCTAGCTGCCTCGTTATTGAGTATTTATTGTTTCATTCCACAGTCAATCTGCTGAGCACTTAGTATGTGCCAGAACTGTATTCTAAGCATTGAGCATTCAGCACCAAGGAACACATACTCTCAGTCTTTTTATAGTTTATAGGGTGATATTCTACAGCCATCGTCTACATAACCCTCTTCATATTCTTGCAAAAGATGGGTTCATCTCCATTTTACAATGAAGGAGGTGAAGATCAGGGGAGGAAAGTAACTGGGCCAAGCTCCTTAAGTGGCAGAGCTGGGATGCAAGCTGGGCCTCTTAGCCTTCAAAGTAAGTGTGCCCCACCATCCTGCCCTAGGCACTGCCTGCTAGATTTAGCTAATAATTAATCATTGCAATGATCCTGGGAGGGAGGGGACTGTATTAGGTCCACTTTAAAGACCAGGAAACTACAATTCAGGGTAGTTAAATGGCTCATTCAAGGGCATAGTCTATCCTCTCTATTTTGCTACTTCTGATCAGCTTATAATTTGCATTTGAAAATCTAAGTAAACGCCAGGAGTTGCAAATGAAACTTTAGAGGCAGAGCAAAGTAGATGCCCTAGTGCCTGAGCACAGCCACTGGGAAGTTAAACACACATCTTCAAGGAAGAAACATAGACAGGAGAGGGAGCAGGTTCCAGAAGGAGGACATCAGGGACTGGATATGCAAAGGCAGCAGCACCAAGTAAGCAGCAGGACATCAGTGATGTAATACAGGTCACTGTAAGCAACTGTGCCATCCCAAGATGGAAAATACACCAGGTGATTATCATGAGGAGGTCCCTAAAATCTGTCGGTCTAAATCAAAGTTAGTTCACAGCATGTGCTGGGCAGTGGTAATAAAAGTTTTGTTTTCACCTGGCATGGTAATGAAAATTTTGTTTGTTAAGCAGCCACATGATACCTACTGCTTTTACTGCTGTCTTTCTAATCCCTGCAAGAATTCTCTAACATGGATATTACGATCTTTGGTTATGAAATGAGGAAGTGAGTCCCAGAGAGGTTGAGTAACTAGACCAAACTAGTGCAGCGAGTGAGTGGTAGAGCAGGGGGCAGAACCCAAATTCATTCTGCTTCCGAACCTAAACTCCTTCCCAGCCTGATACCCCCTGAGAAAGAGGTCATGGGCCAATGGCGGTGGGGGTCAGTTGTTGCAATTGGGCCAAAGGAGGAGTTTCAAAGATTTCACCATGAATTGGGGAAAATCACTGAGGCTGAAGAAACATGCAGGTTGACCCACATGAGTGATCACTATCCTGGGTACATCTTGAATCACTGGGGAACTTTTTAGATCTGGAACACTAGACCCTGCCCAGAAGTTCAAACATGGTAGGCATGAGGTGGAGTCCAGACCTGGGCATTTTTAAAGCTCCCCAGATGGCTACAGTGTATAAACAAGGTTGAAAATCACTGCCCTTTAGAGTTCATCAAGCAGTCCAGGTGCTCTCTCTGAGGCCCCCAGGCTATTTCTGTCCACTGCTTTTGGCAGTGTTGGGCTTTCACCTCTCTTGGGTCTATAGTTCCCAGGGAGGAAATTTTGAGCAAAGACATCCTTCTAGGTTTTATCATGTAAGCTGATGGACAGTTGAAACTGCCTAACACTTGGTTTTGCTCTTCTAGAGAATGACCCACTGGTTATGTGTGGCTGCATAGACACCAGTGTCTTTTCTAGATCCCCATGGTTTCTACACCAGGAATGACTTAGAGCCTTTGTGTTGTTTTTTGTTTGTTCCAGACAACCGGTCAAGCCAGAGGCAGTCTCCGCCCTTCAGCAAGAGTCTGCCCACTAAGCCTACCTGGCCTTCAGTAAAAGCAAGGATTTCCTGCACTCTGCCAGCCCCACGAGCTCTGCCCAAGCCTCAAGTCCCACCCAAGCCCAAAGACCTCCTTCACGATGAGGTAAATTAACTTGTCCCCAACTCTTCCCTGAACCCACATGGGAAGAGGGAAGTGGCTGCAACCATCTGGCTTGCAGCAGGCTTTCCTTACTTGAGGTCCTGCTCCTTGACCTCTCCCCATCAAACCCTCCAATGTTAGACCGGAAGATTTTGTTTCCCCAAAAAAGGCACATACATCTTAATCTTCTAGAGGTCAGTGGTGTAATGTCAATACCAGATCTGTCCCTTTCCTGCTGTCCCCTCTTCCTCCTCTCCTGGATTTCTGAGAATCTTTTCTTTCTACTGAAAGATAGTCTTTCGCTGTCTGTACCCTCCTGTGCCTCTCTGCCCTGTTCCTTCCTTGCTTTCTTTCCTCCACCTTGTTTCTCTCTGTGCTTCCACTTGCTGCTTTGCAGACCCGGAAAGGTGACATGGGACATGTGATGGGGACCCTAGTCTGTAGAAGACCCTGTGCATCTCATGAGGAGCTCATCCCTCATTTCCCTCTGACAGCTCACGCACCTTCCCCACCCTAGGTACCCAGACTTCCTCCTGGGGTGTTCTCACTAATCTTCCCTCTGTCAGTGCCTACTTTTATGCGTATTCCCTTTGGAACTGCTGCCATCTGAAGATGAGCAGACGAACTTACTCCCATTGGTGCAGTAATGACTGCTGAAGCCTAATGTTTTATGGCTTCTGGGATGTTTGCCCCTTAAATGAGGACAAACACAAGCCTCAAGTCAACCATTAGGACAACCCCACAAGTGCAACAGCCTGAGAACTCTTAATCATCACCACACATAATCTTATTGCTGCTTCTCAAAGAAATAACTTGTCTCTAAATGCCTGTAGATGATATGGCTTCTGTATCTTGTTATCCGTGACATCCGCCTTGATCTAACTTGCATTCCAACAATTTGTATTCCTGTTCCCCTGGATTTTCTGTGAATCTTTTCTTTCTACCAAAAGATAGTCTTCCGCTGTCTGTAAAACAAGAAAAGAAGAACTTTTAAATCAAAACAGAGGCAGCATCTAGGCCCAAATTTTGGATTTGATCTTTCTAGCTCTGTGATTTTGGGCAATCAGTAACTTCCCTGAGTCTGTTTTTCACCCCTTCTGGTTATTTTGAGGATTTAATAAGAAACACAGCACTAAATGCAGAGCTTGACACACAGAAGAGGCTGAGAATATGCTAGATTCCTTTTTACGGAGATCCTGTTGTCTCATCTCTCCTGAAGACCAAAGGCCTGGAGGTGGCGAGCCATGGCCTCAGAGCCCCTGAGCCTACTGGTAGCCTTCTGGCTCTGCTGTGAAGCCCTAGCCCTCTTCATTTGTCACAGTCCCCACCATTCCCACAGTGCATGAACACCCTCACTCTGCACTTGCTTCCCGTGTCTGTACCCTGCCTGCCTCTGGACACATTTCAATTCGTGATCCCTGATAGTGTAAGGTAGAAAGTCAGCAGACTCGCAGGGAGGTGGTGTGGTTTGTGAGCTCTCAGTCTGTCAGCCTGGAGGTGACGCTGTCCTTTCAAGGTGGGAACAAGGTGATGAGAGGAGATGAGCAGGGACTAGGAAAGAGACCAGCTGCTGTAAATTCTGGCAGCCCTGGCAAATATGTATAAAGACACGGATTCAGACACAGAATGCAGTGCTTCCTGTGGGTTTTCTCCATTTCTGTGAAAACAGAGAGTGGAGCCCAGCGAGACAAGGCGGCGTGCAGAGGTGGCTTGGGAAAGTTTGCGATGATGAGAAAGGAGAAGAATGAAGGGGCTGTTGTGGGTGGCAGATGGAAAGTCAAGATAAAAAAGAAGTTACAAGGGGGGAAAACAAGGACCGACATTAAAACTAAGCTGAAGCATTAGAATATAAGTCACATAGAAACGTACATAAAACTAAACAAAAATATTTAGAGGAAGCAGCATTTCTGCTGGCACTGCAAGTGGCTAAATGCCATGTCTTAGCTGGAGTGTTGAGCATTTTGTACATATGATCTTATTAAATCCTCATAACAACCCTGTGAGGTCTATACTTATTATTATCTCCATTTTGCCGATGAGGACACCAGGGTAAAAAAAAAATTGTCCAAGGTCACAGAAGGAAATGGTACAGCTGGCATTTAAACTCAGGTAGTAAGATTTTGGAGCTCAGGTGCTAAAGAGCTACCCTGTATCAACCGTCTCTCCAACATGCCATGAGGAGAGAACAGCTCTTCATTCAACACGCATGTGCCAAGCACTGAGTGAGTCCCAGGGCTTCCGTGGTGCTCAGAACAGGTCCTTTCCGTCATTACAAGGCAGACAGATCTGTCCTTGTGGGGCTCACACGTGTGGTCTTTATGTGATCTTTGGACAGATTACTCATCTCTCAAGTCCCTATTAACCATAAAATCAGGATAAATACTGTACACCTAACTTAGAGGGCAGGTATTACTGGAAGAAATTAGTAAAATAATGTAATGAAATGATTAAATGCACATGTGAATGATAATAATGAAAAAACTATGTGTGCACCTAAAGCTAACCAAAATGACTCAATGAATAAATGGATTATAGGGTAGTGGGACAATGAAAATTAGATGAATTTGTACACTCCTGTCTGAGAGGAGGAAACATGCAAATAGGTGTATTTTAATGCTGAGATATCTAAACATTGGAGTTGATCCAAATAATTTCAAAAGTAATTATTTACTTATACTTTTTAACTACCCTATTATAAGAATTGAAGAGTTTTTAATATATGCAGGTTGGGGTGGTGAAACACTACCTGACTTTAAAAGATCAACTATTGCAGTCACTACTGTCAAATTTCTATGATTTATTATTCATGGTATAATGGAGTTTATATGAAAACATTGCAGCAAGGCAAACATGGCCTTGTTAAGGTACTGTTATGGTTTGTGCCTGTGTGTCCCCCCAAAGCCTCATGTGGTCATGGGGCAGGCTTTTAGAGTTTGATTGATTATGGGTGTGAGAGCTACACCCGCCCTGGGGTGGATGGTTTGCATATGTAAGGGAGAGAAAGAGGCTGCTTGCCGCCATTCCTGGCGTTTGCGTTGTTGCTTTGCTGTGTTCTGTCGCCAAGAGTTGTAGCCCTCTGCCATGTGCCACTCTGCCTTGTAACTTGCCAAGTACGGACTGAAACCTCCACAAACTGTAAGCAAAATAAACCTTTCCTTCCTTAATTTTGGGCGTCAGGTATTTTGTCCCAGTAACAAGAGAAAAGTAACCAAGACAGGTACAAATCATGATAGTTCTGGATTGATTACTTATTTTGTCAGGTAACAATTTTAAAGAATTTTTCAATGCTGGAAACAAACATTATGTATTCCCTCTCTTTAGAGCCATAATGGAGGGAGCGGAGCCACAAACATAATTTGTTGGGATTGGATCAAGTCTTTTTTTTTATCATTGCTCTTTTAGAATAAAATAGTCTCAGAAATATCATCATTTTAAATAAATCAGATTCTAGACATTGCAGCTAAAGCAGCTCCTGTTGAAGGTGAAGAAAGAGGTGGGAAATAACAGTGAAATGAAGAGAGGGTGGAGATAAGACAGAGGAGGGAAAGGGGGCAAGGGACTGGAATGTAGTGGGTGGGGAAGCGGATGCTGAGTTCTTGAGCTGTCTGGATTGAAATCGTGATCTTCTTCCTTTTAAGCATGAGTGCATGAGCAGGCTACTTATTTTCTCTGTGTCTCAGTTTCCTCATCTTAAAATAGATCTGATGGTGATACTGCCTTACTGGGTCGTTAGAAGGGTTAAATGAGATAATGTTTGCTTGTTGTTTCTCCCAACACCCTTTTAATCTGCCTGCCATGGGAGACCGTGAAACCTACTTTTGAGATCTGGTCACCTCATCTTTATTCTATTAATATAAAATCACGCATTCTTTAATTTTAGTCAATTGACTATTGATAGGGTACCAAGACAGTTCGATAGGGTACCAAGGCATTTCAATAGCGTACCAAGACAAGTAGTGCTAGGAAAACTGGACACTAACATACAAAAGAGGGAAATCGGGTCCCTATCTCATACCATACACAAAATTATCTAAAAATCAATCACAGACCTAAATGTAAGAACTAAAAATGTTAAACTCTCAGAAGAGAACATAAGCAGAAATCTTTATGGTCTTGGGTTAGGTAGTGATTTGTTAGCTGTGACACCAAAAGCACAAGCAACCAAAAAAAGATAAATAAAATGGACTTCAAAATTTAAAATTTTTGATCACAAAGGATACATTAAGAAACCCATAAGGGCTGGGGATATAGCTCAGTGGTACAAGTGCCTGCCTGGCAAAGCACAAGGTCCTGAGTTTGATTCCAGGTACCCACCAAAAAACAAGCAAACAAACAATCAAATGAAAAAAACACTGAAAAGAAGCTCACAGAATGGGAGAAAATTTTTACAAATCATACATTTGTTAAAGGACTTATATCTAAAACATATAAAGAATTCCTGTAATTCTATAATAGAAAAGAGAAATCACCCAACTAAAAACAGGCAATGATTTGAATAGACATTTCTCCAAAGATGACCAGTATGCACATGAAATGATGCTCAACATCATTAATCATCAAGGAAACACAAATCAAAGCTACAATGAAATACCACTTCATATCGGTTAAGATGCCTACACTCAAAAGGACAGACAATAATAGGTATGCAGTAGTAAGTACGCAGAGAAATGGGAACTGTCGGGCAGTGCTGGTGGGAATGGAAAATGGTATAATCACTTTTGAGAACAATTTGACCATTACTCAAACTGCTGAACATACAGTTACCATATAACCAAATAGTTTTACCTCCTGGTATAGTCCAAGAAAAAAGAACGTCTACACAAAAACACGTACATGAATGATTATGGCAGTATTATTTCTAAGAGCCAAAAAGTAGAAGCAACCTAAATGTCCATCAGTTGATGAATGGATAAACAAAATGTGGTCTATAATATAATATTACTTAGCCATAAAAAGGAATGAAGAAGTGATACGCACAACATGGAAGAATCTTCCATTTTTCAACATGGAATGATCGTCATCTAAGTGAAAGAAGTCATAAAATACTAGATATTTATGCTCCCATTTATATGCAATGTCCACAAAGAGCAAATTTGTAGAGACAGAACGTAGATTAGTGATTGAGGAAGGGTTGGTCGGGAGTAATAAACAGGTGCGGGGTGGGCATAAAAATGTTCTAACACTACTTTGCAGTAACGACTGCACAACTCTGAATACAGTCAGCCCTCCGTGTCTATGACTTAAACATCCACAGAGTCAACCTACTCTGGATAGAAAATATTTTCTACAAAGCTGTGTCTACACTGTATAGTTTTTTTTCAGGTTATTATTCCCTAAAAAATATAACAACTATTCACGTAACATATTAGGTATTTTAAGTGATCTAGAGATTAAAGTATACATGAGAATGTTCATTGGTTATATGCAAATGCCATCCACTGAAAATATGGGATTTGAGTATTCATGGAATTTGGTACCGTGGAGTGGGGAGGTCTTGGAACAAACACCCGCAAGACACCGAGGGATGACGATATACCAGAACACACTAAATTATGACTTTTACATCTCTCATGGTATGTGAATTATATGCCGCTCCTTCTCATTCAGCTATGAATATACAGTGTTCTCATTAGTTTTTACATTTCTTTTAGGCTGATTATGTGGTCCCTGTGGATGATAACGATGAAAACTATATTCATCCCACAGAAAGCAGTGCACTTCCATCTGAAAAAGGTAAGAGTGAAGTTTCAAGTCCTGAAAACATCTGGTAGTTGACTGGAACATATCAGGTATTCAGTAGTAAGCACTGGGGGCTCAGAAGTGGCAGTGCCCAGGCCGCTTCCTCGGAGCCCTGTGCATATGCCTCGGTCTGGTGGGGCGGACAGCATCAGTGAGCAACTCATTTCTGGACTGCATAACCTTCCCTTTCCCTCCTTCCTGTTATGTGATGAAATCCTACCATATCAAATTATTAAAACACCTGGGTTGTTTTCTTCAGCTGGCCTCACTTAGAGTGGATTTCTCATAAAAGCTAATGCAGAAATGCAAGTTACTCTGTTGGCCTTAAATAGGCCCTAAAGGATTTCTGTAGAGGCTTGAAAATTTTTGAAAGGGTGAATATTCTCTGCATTCTGGTTCTTTACATCTCATAGGCATCTCAGGCCTATGAGAAATGTTTCATTTATAAATCCTACTTGGGATAACAAATGTTATTACAAACAAATTATCTTAAAAAGGTCAGTGCCACATAGCCACAGACCAGACACTGAAATAGGATATGTTTACTGTAGTTATAGTCCCTTTGGAGAATATAATCTCATGGAAGTGATGCATCTTCAGGCGAAACTAGGTAATATATATATATAATACTATACTTAGGTAATATACTCATCTGGTAAAGGAAGTAGTCATCACTTTTTAATCTGTCTTCACATAGCAGCCCTCTCCCTAAATGTCATCAGCAGCTTCACAACCTACCTAAATTCCCAAGATATGCACAAAGAGAACACATACACATTACCACAAAAGAACACATACACATTCCTTTTTATCCCTCACAAAATTCTACAGAAATTGTGTGTGTATTGCATATGGCAGGGAAGGGGGGGCTATAAATTTGGCCCTTCTATGCTTAGCTTTAATACATTTCTCTTGATAAAAAACAAAGTCAGACTCTTATCTCTGAGGCCTCCAGTTTAACAAATCACTGAGTTAGTAATCACTATAACAAAATCCCTGTTATAAAATAATTTGATTATTCCTTTGTTTATTAATATATTCATTCTAAAGATTTTTTCTGAAAAGTTTTTCCTGAATGCATTGTGAAGATATCCCATTCTTTGCAAATTCTGTTTGATCTATCATTTTTCTGTGCATGGAAATTTTTCTAAGTGGAATAAATCTGTATCATTACTCATCTATATATTTGTGTTTAAGCTCCCATGGTGAATAGATCAACCAAACCAAGTAGCTCCTTGAAGTCGGCTTCTCCTCCAGCAACAGCTTCAGGTAAAGAATATCCGTGCTTTGGTTTGGTTTTTAATCCATTCCAAGATACCCAAATCAGTTTAAACATAAAGAAATAATCACTTGTATTTCCAAATTTGTTAGTAAATGGGAAGAGAAGATTTCTTCTCATTCTTCTCTGCTGTCTGGTAGCACCTACGCGGAAGGGACCCTCGCCCCTTGACCTTTGGACTCTGTTATCCCTCCTGGCTGGGCACCATGCTGGTTTCTCCCCTGTCTTCTTCCCCTGACTGAGGACATCCCCAGGGCTTGGTCCACAGCTGTCCTTTCTGGATTGTGGTGGTTAAAAGCTTGGGAGTTGAGCTAAACAGACCTGGGGAACCCTTGGGTCCCCAGTTACTGGAGCTGCAGTCTTGGGCTTGTTCTTCACTTTTCCAAGGATCAAAGTTTCTCATCTGTAAAAGGAAACAGAAGTTCCTACCTGAAGCGGGAGAATTCTGAAATTGTAATAGGGACTCTTTTCCTACAGCAATGAATAGTTTTGAAGAGAATCCCTTTTCACAGTTTTAGGTTTCATTCATTCTTATGGCTTTACTTCTTGCACCTGAGCCAATAACTTCCTGGTGTCATCTTTGACCGGGTTTTCCCCTTTATCACCTTGGCTTCCTCACACCTCAAGCTCACACTTCCATTGCCACGCTCCCCTAGGGCATGCTAGTTCCTCCACACGTGGCAGCCTCCAGACACCGTCTCAAAGTTTCTGTGTTCTTTCCAAGCCTGCTGTTTTATCTAGAATTTGCTCTTCTGTTTCAGTTGCCACAACCTAGGCCAGGCTTACTTTGTCACCTCGAATCTTCTCGTCTGCCACCATACCGCAGCCACATTACACTCCTACCTCTCTGCTGTCTCCTCAGCAACAAACAATGAGCTTCTGAACTCCTCCAGATGCTGCCCACTTCAGTCCATCACATGTCACCCCTGCCCAAGCCAGGCACATCCAGTAGCTCCCAGTTGTCCTCAGTAGATACCAGCAGTCCTCAAATCTGAGGCTAAAGATGCCAAGGGGTCCTCTAAGCCCTACCCTATTACCAGCCCAGAGAGGTGTGCGGCCTCGCTTCCACTTCCTGAGTGCCTTCTCTGTCTCTCTCTCTTTCCGTTCCCCTCCCCTGCATGCACATACATACTCCCCTCTCTTTCAGAACTGAACACAAGCAATTGGGAGAATAGGCTCTTCTACTGACAGGAGCCTTTAAGAGAAATGAAAGAGAAATATTTTTAGACTAATTTCTTGTGAAATTACTCATTGTAAGCTCTTCTCTTCTATGTCCTCTCCTTTAGAACCCGTGGCCTCTTTATATCTGGGGAGTAGATCTCAGGGCCCTGCTTTCCAGCTCATCTGAGCTTCTGGCAACAAAGGACACACACCAGTGCAAGAGGACGTGGCAAGGCTGCTTCAGTCCCAGCTGCACTGAGACTCTTAACTCAGGATGACATTGTCATTACTGTGACATGAATCCTTTTTACTGAAACAAATAAATGAAGACCTAAGCCTTCCTTTAGAAAAATATTTAAATAATCTCTGGTGTTTTCATCTTAAAAAGGTCTGCTTGCTTTTCCCGGGACTTCGTCCCAAAACACAGCCAGTACTCCAGTTAGCCTATATTCCATAGGTCCTGAATTTTGGACTTTGGGTTCTCACTTTTATGACACCAAGTCTTGGCTGCCTTTCAGACTCCAGCTTGGAGATTCTATCTGTCTGGTTTCTGTGGCCCTCGAAGAGTTCCCTTTTCCAGAAAACTCTCCCCACACTTTGCCCATACTTATTCCCTGATTACACTGTGTCTCAATCTAGTCTTCCTAAGTACATTGTGAGCTCCCTGAAAATTTTGCTTTCAATGTTACTCACTCAGGGGACCTTACCTGATCTCACATTGAGATGGATCCCTCTGATGTGCACTTCTATAGGCCCCACACTCATCCTTTGTCCTATGACCCCTCATGAGAACTCTGTCTTTCTTGTAAGACTCAGAGCTACGTGTCTTGCTCACAGCTCTCTCCAGGTGTCTAGGTCAAACAGGTACTGAGATGGCAGATGGGTTAGTCTTGGGTGAGAAAGACCACAAGCTCTGGCTATATGTGGAGAATCTCAGAGTACATCATGAGGGCAATAGTCCATTGGGCTTATTGCTCACTGCCTTGTTATTAACCCAGTGGGGCTATATTTTAATACTAGAGACTTCAGACGAAGAAACCAAACCCAAACAAGAAGACTATATGCTGATTATATGATTATTGCTTATAGGTGGGAAGAAGAACGGGAGGGAGAAGGAACTGAGGTGATTTGGGAAGAACAAACCTGAGGTTAGAGTGAGCTTTTGAGTGTGTAAAACAATACGATTTTTCAAGGATGATTTTCATAAAAAGCATGATGAGACTACTGGCCTGTGTCACTGAATAACCAGCCATTGCTCCTTAAACTGAAGGCTTCAGATAGTCCCGACTGAGCACCACAGAACTGGCAAGGTTTGTGGGCGCTCTTCCGGTCAAATTCCGCACCATGTCAGTTGCCTCTGGTATGTTACTTTTGGTCCTGTGAAAGCTAATAAGGTGCTTGCTGAGGGCTGCTTGGGAAGTTAGGTATGATGGCAGCCTTTACCCTCCTCTCTGTGCCTTGCATACCAAGACGCACAAAGGCATAGACTTAACCCAGGCTCCAAAGACCCAGCTCTGACTGTTGCTAGGCAATTTACCTTGTGTAAGTGAAGTAATTTCTGTTTCTTAGTTTCTTCCGATGAAAAATGGGGAAAATGACACCTAAGCATAGGGGTAGTGTGAGAATTAAATGAGTCAATATATAAGAATCATTCATAAAAGGGTACCTCTCTACGGTCACCATTCAGAATCCCTTGTACTTGCATCTTTAAAAACTTACCTTGATTCATAACCATTGTGGCAGATGCATCCTGTACACATCTCAGGGAACAACTCTGTTTCCCTCTTTTAATATAAAGTTTCACTCTAAATCAGTGTTTCTCAGCCTTGGCACTGTTAACATTTTGGGCCAGATAATTCTTTTCTTGGGAAACAGCTTGTGCATTATAGGATGTGCGGCAACATCCCTGGCCTCTACCCACTGTATTGCAGTAGAATCGACTGCGTTTCTAATTTTTCCCTTGCAGTAGCCTATCCAAGAATTCCGAAAGCAAGGGACCCGGCAGTGAGGAGGACTCCAGGTGCACTGTGAAGGAGTTGTCCCACCCCAGCTGCACTCCTGTGTCTGGCTTTGTCCCTCAGCAGCAGGAGGGCCTGGCCATGAGATAGAGGAATCACTCTCCATCAGCTCTCAGTATCCACAAAAGCCCCTCTCTGTTTCCTTCATCTTGCCTTTCCTAAGAGAAGCAGCAATGAACTGACCCACTTTCTCAGTCATGCCCCAGAGAGCATTCTGAGGTTTTAGCTGAACAAGAAAGTGCTACCTGGGCTCAGATAGCCTTGGTTTAAACCCCACCCCTGCCACGTATCCTCTCTGAGACTCTGTGTGTTTCACCTGTTGTCGCATGAGGCTTCGAGAGAGAATGGCACCTTTACACAACCTAGCTTGTTGCTAGCGCCTAAAGATACTGTGGGGATCGATCACAAGACAATGAACCGAAGACAGTAACAATCATGTTTACTGTGCTCTTTTATGAGTTTTAATTTATATATAATAAAACTCATCCATTTTATGTGTACAACTTGATGCTTTTTGTAAACCATTGCATTTATAGAGTAATTATGTAACCATCACCATAGCTCAGCTTTAGAAAATTTCCATGCCTATCCTAACCTCAAAAATCCCTTATACAGTATCCATTTGCCCCATCCCCAGCTCTAAGCAATCACTGGTCCGCATTCTGCTGCTGTAGATGTTCCTTTTCTAAACAGATACAGTCACACACTATGTAGTCTTTTGCATCAGGCTCGTTTCACCTAGTATAATGCTTTCGACCCTCCAAACTGTTTAATCCACTCTCAGAAATATTACTGTAGAGTTAGTTAGTTCTCTAAACTTTCAGTTATCCTACTGTTTTATGACAATAACTCTGAATTTGATAAGATAAGGAGTGGGGTCCCTGTTTCACAGAGAGGGTAACTGAGGCACAGTGGCTTATAAAAGTCACCCAGCCAGTCTGGTGGCAAAGAACAATGAGAACTTGTCTTCTGGGTACAAGACTGCATGTTTTCCAGCAGCCCTTGTCCTGAGCTGGAGGGCTTCCTTCTTCTCTGCCAGAAGATATTTATGGAGAGAGAAAGGAAAGAAAAATGTTGGCCAGCTATTTGGAGATACAAAGGAAAGGGAAACTTAGTTTAAAAAAAAAAGGTCTAAGCAGTAGTGTGACAAAGGTAATATACTCAGACTGAGTGAGTCCTTGGCATTTAAGAAGAGAGAACTCCCCCGGAGGAAACTGACTAGACGTTTCTACTTCCTTATTTTTCAGACAAGATTTTTTTTTTTTAATCTGTCCTGAAACTGTCCCTTGAAATGTCTGAGTTGCCAAGGGTATTTTATCAGAGCCAATTGAAGTATTCAGTTTGATATACCAGCTAATTAAACTCAACTGGACTCATATTACATTTCAGTTCATTGTCACATACAGTGTAAAAATTCCAAATGTAGTCTCTTTTCCAAAAGCTTTTAGAAATGACATCTAGGTCAGGTGGCCTGTAAGTAGGATGACACCGGAGGTGATCCTGCTTCCCAGGGTGCAGGGGAAAGTGGCCATATAGCATTGGTGCCACACACCCCATGCTGCTGCTGTCATCTCTCTGTGAGAGTTTAGGGAAGTTAGTCCCAGGCAAAAGCCGCGCAGAGTAAGTGAGCAGAGTGGAAGCTGGGACCTCTCTACCAAAGTTCACTATCATAGATATGAGCTATGATAATGAATAGGAATCTATGATAATGAACTTGGTCATCTCTATTTTTAAATGTTTTGAGGCTTTTTTCTTTTTGCTGTTAAAATGAGATGACACAAGGGCTACAGGCCTCCCCTGTGTGCGGAGAAGGAAGAGGCTGTGTCTGTTCCCTCAAAGCTCTTCCTCAGTGCCTACCTCAGCCTTTGAGTGCTTTACACAGACCAGCTTCTCGGTAATCCTCTTACTTATGTGTGCTCTATCTCGAAAACCACAGCAACACATACTGAGGGAACAGGTCCAACCTGTGCTGAGGGTATTCCCCATAAGTCCATTCGGGATTGTGCACTTATCAATGTGGTAATTTCTTAAGAAAAATCAAATAGTTCGATTTGACTCAATGAGGAGCCTGATCAAGAGCCTCCTAATCTCACTGAGCACTAAAGTCCAAGCAGCCGAGCATCTGCCTGAGAGGGAGCAGCCAGCAGATGCTGAGGACCTGCTTGGCTCTGGCCTCTCCTCTCCAGGTCGCCTTCTGTCACTGCCGCGAAGATCTACCCTGCCTCTCTCACAGCCTCCTTCATAGTGATTGTCTGGCTCTTCTCTTTAGATGGGGGGAGGATTGCATGTAGGGGACAAAGCCCTATGGGTCCCTTCTCTGACTTCAGAAGATGAGATCTGGGGAGCAGCCTTCCACCTGCCCTGAGTTGTTCATTTGTGTCCTGGGCAAAGGCCCCCGAGAACTTGGCAGTAAATATCCTGAAGCGATGTGAGGTGCACATACTGCCCTGAAGTGGGGCTGGGGGTGAGCAGAGTCTGTACTGTGTATCAGGAATGGTGGGTTTGAGCTTTTAGTGCTTAGGCACATCTGCCGCCACATTTGTACTGTATACAGATGCAGCTGTGAGCTCTTGGCTCCCTCTTAAAGGAATCCTTCCTGAGCCCTCAGAGGCTAGGGGCTCTGGACTTGCCCCATGGATGTGAGGATGAGGGCCTTTAGAAATGTTAGTGTGGAGTTTTTGATCCGTGTCTTAGTTCTGATCTTATACACTGACATTTGAAAACTATATCATCACCTATGCCCACAAGTTTTCTGCCACAGCCTCAGTGGAACTCGCTATATATATTTTACTGAAAACAACCACACTGTGTGTGTGTTTCTGAGTCTGTCCGAAAGGCCAGCCTCACTGAGACCATCATCCACAGGTGCAGAACACAGGTAATGACCCGTGTATGTGTTTGTGCAGGTCGAAACAGCGGGGTCTGGGAATTCAAGTCACCTTCTTCTCCTGTTGCACCATCCCCACTGCCAAGGGCGGGGTGAGTACCAGCTATGGGCAGCGGCTCGGTGACATCCAAGTGGATGGGATGATGGGGACCTGCTGCCCTGCAGACTCCTGCTAGAAATCCTCCACCATGGCAGCCTGAACAATGTTCCAGGTGAACCCTGTTGAAATCAGAATCTGGGAGTCTTCCCACCTTTACAGCTTTAGTAAAATATTGGGCTCATTTACTTAAGTGTTCCATAAAACACCTCAATTTTCAGAAGCACTGGTTCCTGAGTAATTTTAAAACCACCCAGCAGATTTCATTTTCACTTTCTACTCCTTGGCCATTTTAATAAATGTACATATCATTTATAGCATGCGCTAGTGTACACAGTCAGAATAATCCTGCTGAATCTCCTTTGCAGAGTGATATGGAAGAGTTATTCTTTCTTCCTCAGTGTAAAAGGGCTGTGCAAACTATCGAGTAGGGATTATAATATGTTAATATTATAAACACTGAACCCCATAAAATTATGTTGTTCGATAGGTTATTTTGAAAGCATACTTTAATATGTCTAAGATGAATCTTAATTCTGCCTTTGTGGAAACCCATGAAGGCTATTAACCAGATGTGTTTATTAACCAAAACCATGAACACCTCTTAAGGCTCAGCTTTTTCATTTGAGGTAAGTGAGTTTCTCTGAGCCTCAGTTTCTTCATCTCTAAAATGTGATTATAACATCCATTTAAAGGATCATTTGAAAAGGTGTAGATAACTGTGAAGAGCACCATCCAGTTCCTAACATCTTATAGGCATTCAGTAAATGAAAAGTTTAAAAATTTCAACTCTCTGAGAGAGAGAGAGAGAGAGAGAGAGAGAGAAAGAGACAGAGAGAGAAATTGAAAGTAAATACCAAAAAGAAACATAAAACCTTCGCAATATTAAACTCCAGGCTCTGCTGGAACAAGAGGAACAGTAGTGTTAGTGGACGCAAGGACCTTCAAGTCCACAAGTCACACTGGGTTTCAAACTCATTTGGCCTTGGATCCCCCTTTGAATGAAATCTAACGTGGGCATCTAGTAAAGAGTAATCATCTAGACGCAGGGCAGAAGTTGGCCCTGCAGAAGAAGGTGCTGGCTGCAACCTCACCTGCTTGGCTGTAATCTCATCTCTGCTTGTGCCCTGGGCAGGAGCCTAGGTTGTTGTGGGGAAGAGGCGCATACATACACACCTTGAGAGCACTGACACTGCGTCCTGTTTTCACAAATGGGAAAACAAAAGGTCAGACTTGCCTCACAGCCAAAAGAAAGGACTCAAGGCCACAAATAATTAGTAGAACTGGTGGATCCATAGACTCCCTGGTGACTGGGCTCTTGTTTATCCCCTATTAACCCCTCCCAATCTGTCAGTGAACTCTGTCTGAGGTTAGAAGGATTGTAACTAAGTCCTACTTCCATCCTTGTTTGCCTTTCAAGGACAGTCTATCCACTTGTATCTCTTTCATTATTCTCTTTAAATCTGAGAGTAAGATAAGTCAGCTCTGCTTCATCTTCATGGTGTTATAACACAGCTAATCTCTTTTTATTTCCCAGGAAAATAACAGCTACTCCACTAAAGACAGTAAGTTAATCACACATTTAAAAATGCTTCTTGTTTCTTGTACTATTTTTTTCTTATCCACTTAAAGTTGAAAATGCTTCCAGCCATTATGAACCCAGCAGTCATAGCAACTGAAGCTGCTTGCTCAGACGGTCCAAAGGAACTTGAGTCCTCAGCCAGCCAGGAAGGCTACCTAAGAGGAGCTTGTCCTTGTGGGACCCTGGTGGCTTCACTGAGTGTGTGTAACAGGTTAATGGGCGCAGCCAGGCTCCCTGCCCCTCTGTAAGAACCCTTCATTCATTCCTTGCCTCATGACTCCTGAGCCTATGATCAGACATAGAGGCTCAGAATAAACTCAGATTCTGGCCAGAACTCAGGGACATCTCATTATGCGAGGCAGCCCACCTGGACCTATTGTGGAATTTGAAATGGACAATTATTTAGCAAGCACACATAAGGTGGAGTCATGAGACCAAAGTCATATATTCACCAGATAGCCACTGCACAAGTGCTATTGCTAGCCAGCTGCTGGGGGACACAGTATTCAACAGAGCAGAGGGGGCTGCACCCCAGGATGACTGCTCCTTCCGTGAGGCGTTTCCAGGCGTTTCCATTTCATGCAGAGGCTGGGCTGGAAGCTGTGTGAGTTTGATTGTCCTTGTTGTGATTGGAAGACTAGCTATGCATCAAAGAAAACTCTGCCAAAATATTTATTTAATAAATTGCTTAGATTTTTACTTCCATGTTCCACTATATTTAATATCTTTGTCTTTTCTTTTTTTTTTTTTAAATATAGACTCCGGTTGCCTCTCAGCAGAATGCATCAAGTGTTTGTGAAGGTAAATTTATTATTTTAAAAGATGAACATTTCCTCTAAAAATAATTTAAATTAAGGATTTCTATATAAATGTAAATTGAATTTCTTTAAGTATTTATAAGGCAATTATAAACATGAAGTTGAATGTTCTAAGCAAAATAATCTTTCACTTTGCAGAGAGTAGAGCAGCAAAGCTAGCTCAGAGACTGAGCATAGCAGGTAGGGTCTTTGGAGCAGGCTGTCCTCCACCAAATACCTGCTCGTTTTGGACAGTTGTACCTGGCCAGGAAGCAGGGCGATGGCCCTGGACAGGTCTGAAGGCTAATTTAGAGCCATTCATATATTTTTGAACTAACAGCTTTAGGCAAGATAATGCCTTTTAAAAAAATCTGTTTATTTAAACAGGTTCTTTTGTTAAATTTTCAAAGGTCACATGCCTGTCTTTTCAGTATATCTTCAGAAAGCTTTTATGTCTTTATTTTATCATAACTGAAAACACATTTTTTTTATATAACTTCCCCATTTAAAAAGCATTTGTATTTGAAAAATATTTACTAAGGGAAAAAAGAGAAAAATGTGAAAACCATACATAATATCAACACTCAAAATATTATGTAGATGTTCAACTCCTGCATCCTCTCATTCCTCACCTGAAGGTGTCAGTGTTAAAACGCGAATGTGCTCACCACTTCCTAAGGTAATCTGGTCATGCTGACGCGGAAGCTGCTGGCTTTTCCGAGGATGGATCTTTTCTGAGGCACTGAGTGTGCACTACATCTCACTTCTTTCCTTTACTTGCCCCAATATTTTATTTCCATTCCACTTCCCCATCTCTTCCTCCCAGGTTATTTCTTTTCTGCTGTCTTGGTTTCTTCTGCCTTTCCTTGAATACCTTAGTTTACATGGACATTACCTTGCATGTCCTTCCATTCCTTGCAGTCTCTTCTGCCCTTTGAGCAGGGAGCATAGAGCCAGAGTGACTTCAGGGCCTCTAAGCCTCTGTTTGAAATAAGCACAACCTCTTGCAAAAATCATAGCTTTGGGCACTTCCAAAAATCAGACAAGAGCGGACCTTATGGCATACTTGCTGCTGGGATGTCCTCCTTTGCTTCCATTCTTGTACTTATTTCAAGTAAAAAAGCAATGGCTCTCAAACCCAAAGTAAGGGAGCAGCCTAGGAAAGACTTTAAGGAGGGCAGAGGCAAAGCAAGTGTGGTCAAAGTTCAAAGGTTGCTAGCCCTGGGGCTGGGGATTTAGCTCAGCGGCAAAAGCGCCTGCCTGGCAAGCGCAAGGTCGTGAGTTCAGTTCCCGGTACCGGAGAAAAACCAAAAAAAAAAAAAAAAAAAACAAAACAAAAGGTTGCTAGCCCTAATTTGGTCACTGTTTCTCCTTTGGAAGTTACCAAGGTTGGTTGTTACTGTTGTTTTATGTTACTGGAGATCAAACTCAGGCCTTGCACATGCTAGGCAAGTGTTCTAACACTGAGCTACACCTGCACCCTGAAAGTTACTAAGTTTTAAAGAGATTAATAAAACGTCTAACATGGCAGCTGAAAGTAATCTGCCACACATATGAAATACAATCCTCTGAGCTTCACAGCTTCCAGACCCTTGGACCCTAGGATGTATGCCACAAGAAACTGAGGTTTATCTTATTATTCACAGTATTTGAACCTGAGTTCTTACTACTTATGTTCTGTAACCCTCAGGCTTTATCCCATGCAGGCGATTCACCAAGATTTTAACATACTCCCAGCTAGGAGGAAGAATGAAGCATTAAAATAATTTGTGATAGCATTTGTTAAGGGTTCAGGAGTGAAGTCCTCTATAGGCTTCAGCGTACATTTCTTATAGTTCAGGCTTATGCCCATTTTCCAGCCCTCTCTTTTGCACTCTGGAAAACAGTGGAATGACAGTGAAAATGGCAGTATTATAAGGAGAATCTTGCAATTTTTCAAAATATAAAGATAATCAAATTTTTCAAAAAGAGAGCAGATCTCACAAATCCTGTTATTTTGCCTCTTAGCAGTAATAATTTGCTGAAAACACATATTATGATTAATGAAGATATACTAGTATATAATAACATCCAAGGGAAAGCTACCTAGAAAGTAGAAAAAAATTGGTACCAAAAAAAAGGAAAGAAAAGAAAAAAGAAAATAGAAGGTGAGTGTGCAAAGGGTAGCCAAGACTTGTTCTCCCAGCACACACTTGTGCTCACACTTAACGTTCCAGCCCCAATAAGTTAGGACTCTATGTACACAGCCAGAGGTTATGCAGAGAGGGAGGTGCAGTGCGCAGCTGTGACCCTACCAGCACATACACATCAGCAGACTGACAAGCCCATACACTTGAGAGAAGATGGGTTTCTGGGAAGACCTGTGACAACTTTGGTTCTGCTTGACTGATATGGCTGGGATGGGGATGGGGGCAGACATTTTACTCTAATTCTAATATAAGAATTTTCCTAATCCAGAAAGGCCTATACCTGCTGAACGCCACCGAGGGTCTAGTCACAGACAAGAAGGTGTACTGGCACCAGTGTTTCCTCCTGTCCAGAAGTAAGACTCTTTCTCTTCATAAAGAAGCTTCCCTTTGTTATTGTGGGAATTAACCTGTGCTTTATTATACTGGATAGTGACACCAGTTTGTAAGGCTGAATAAAAATCCAGTATTTCATTACTTTGTAAAAAGTGTTCAGCAACTTAATCTGTGTAGAATTGCAGAGACTTACTGTCAGGATTGACTGTTAGACTTAACTAAAATATAACACCTTCATCAAGAAGATATTTCTTATTGACCACTGGTGTTGATTCTGTTGTAAATGTGTCTGTTCTTTTTTTCCAGACAAATCCATCAAAAACCCATACCTCTGCCACGTAAGTACAATAAGGTAGAGAAGAGGTAAGGCTGGTTTTGGTGTCTGCCAGACCTGGGTTCTAACACATCACTGTTAGAAGTGATGGTTTTAGGATCTTCTCTTGCCTGTTTCACCATCTATAAAATGGGGCCAAGAATATTTATTTCATAGTTGTTCTGGAAAGTAAATAAACTTCAGACAATTTTTAAAACTGTTTTTTTTTTTCTTTTTAAATATTGATTTAATACTTTGCTGGCTGGCCATCTATTTAAAACAAAAACAATACAGCTGTTTTTTAAAATAAGGTAAGTAAAACAAAATATGAGAAGTACCTACAATAGGGGTTGGTACATAGAAGGTCCTCAATAAATGATAGGTGTTTAATTTGAATCTAAAATACATTTTATTGATTAAAAACATGTCTATGAAAAAACATGTCTTTTATCCTCTTTTATCATGAAAAGAGGATAAAAGCAAATATCTGGGTAATTATCCCAAGGTAAAAAACACCTTTAAAATGTGTTAATCAGAAAAGTCAGGCTCATAGAACATAACTGTCCCAAACTTTAATTTTCTTTCTATTCAATATAGGAGAAAATAAGGAAAATTACCTTATATGGGTAATTTGAAATATATTCCTAAATGATCATGATGAAGTCTATACAAATTACCAGAGGCCAGGGACATAGCTCAGTGGCACAGCACCTGCCTGCCACGCACAAGGTCCTGAGTTCAATTCCTAGTACCAAAAAAATTTAAAAATCAAATTACCAGAATAATTCTTACTTATAAAAATTTTATGCACATTTTTACTAAACAAATGTTTTAGGTTTTAATAACCATTTTTACTCACTTTAAATAAACTTTTACTAGATGGTTTTTCTTTTAATTTTGACAACATAAAAGTGAAAATGATTTGGCTATAGAAATTTATTTTCTCATTATTTAAAAGCTTTATTATATCTTTTATTGTTCTACAACCCAAGTCATTTTTTCAATCACTGCTGGGCTGTATGTGAGGAGCTTTTCCAGTCACTGGAAATACTAGGACTAATCAAAGACTCTGTCTTTATGAAGCTTATACTCTCATGGAGACAGAAGTACAAATAAACACATAGATAAGCAATATCACATCAGGTAAATGCTAAACAAAAACAGAGTGGGTGGTGGGCAATGGATGGTAGAAATTAATAGAGGTGATGAAAGCTGTTATTTTAGATGAGGTGGTCTGGGAAGTCCTTATCTGTAAAATGAGGTACAGTCGTTCCTCCCACCAAGAGCTAGGGTGAGGACAAAATGAGCTAAGGTGTTGAAAACAGAACAACATTGCACATATCTGTGGCTCTGAAAATGTTAGCCGTGGGTAATTCTGCAACTGTCCGAACTGCAGAACCCACCCTCCAGCCCGCCCGTGTGGAGACCCATCTACCTTTGCTCTCCACACAGGGGAGTGCCTTGCCCCCTGCTAGAAGCCACCCTTCCTTTGCCTCCCTCCTGTTACAGCAGCGGCTGCCTTCTTTGAACATGCAGGCACTCACTCCAGAAGCCCTTAGTTCTCTCAAACTCAGTTCTCCTGCAAACCTCCCTGTCTTAATACTGGACAACTTGGGTTGCTGTGGTCAGAAACCTCACTTGCCCTATTCATACACCTTCCTTCAAATTATATCCCAAATCCAACCACTCTTGCCACTTCCAGGCTGTGACCTGTTCTAGGCCATCAGCATCGGCAAGAACATTCAACCGGCCTCCACTCTCTGCTTTTGCCCCTTCTGCTTCCAGCCCGCAGTCAGAGTAGCCCTGTGACAAGTATACAGATCATATTCCTTCTCTGTTGAAATCCTCCAAAGCTTCCCATATCATGTTCATTAAAGCTGGAGTCCCAGTCAGACAATACCAAGTCCTATGAATTTGATCATAGAACCAGATTCTTCTTGCCTCTTGTCTAACTTCATCCCTTATTCTTGTCCCCTTCTCTCACTATGCTAGGTTCAGTGGTTCTCTTGCTACTTTTCAAATATTTCAAATCTTTGCACTAACTTTTTCCTCTGAACATTCCTTCCAGAGATGTTCATATGCCTCCTCTTTCTCCACCTGTGTGTCTTACCCAAGTGGCATCTCACTGAGGCTTTCCTTCTCTCTTTACTGTTCTCAGTAGCATTTATGATTCTCTAACATTGTGTATATATTTATTTGTCTCTATCACTTAGTTCGACTCATTAAAATTCAAGATCCAGGGAGGCAGTTCATTTTGCTGTTTTATTTCTACTACATATACACATTGTAGGAAATTACTGAAGTTTGATCACACTTGATCCATGACAGCACACAAGACAGATGAATGCATTTTATTTATATTTTTTCTATTTCTAATTCTCTGTAACTTTTCTATTCCTTTTGTCTCTACATTTAGATTGTAAACTTGAGAGAATTTATTCTTTTTTTTTTTTTTTTGGTTTTTTTTTTTTTGGTTTTTCTCCGGTACCGGGAACCGAACTCAC